GCCCCGAATAAGTGTAGAAAATACGTTTATCAGTAAACACAGTTACTACATGTGCATCCGTGTGTAATCCTTTCTACATGAGTGTGATTGCTTAATTCGGTTGCATGGCTATATGTACATTTCAATGTGTTTGATATGTACATTTGCATGAATTTAAGAGCAATTTAATTACTTGGTGTAATTGTTTGCATGCATAGTGGGTTAAGATGCATTAGTAGTATGTTATATGCTTATCGGTGAGATAGAATATAGATGCCTAGGGGTACAATGGTGTTTTGTACCAGGGATGTGGACTGTGATATTTGGATCACAAGTGGAGAGGTGATTAAATGTTGGAATCTTTTATATGTGAAGAGACCGTAATAAGGTGGAGTGTGAGAGAGGCACTTCTATCACTTCTGTTAGGTGGAGACACATTATCCACTTAGGCTGAGAGAAGTGATGTGGTGATAGAGGATTATCTCAAGGACTTAGGATCTATAGAGGTTTACCAGTTAAACATGAATTGAGTAATCGGTCTGGTAAGCATTGTGGGCAATGAGGTGAGATATGCATTCTCGAGGTGTGAGCAACACGAAATTGGATAATATAAGTGTGGTGAGATTTTTTCATGGGGTCATTTATGAATTTGTTGCATATGTGTTTTGACCGTTTGCTTGATTAACTTAGTGTTAATCTATTGTTATGTGTGAACATATTTTTGAAAAGATCTGTGAATTATCCTATGTTATATCTGCATCGCATGATTCTTTGTTCTTGATTAATTACTGTGATTATCTACTTCTACTTGGGTATTTGTTTGTGACATTAGCCCTAGTGAGTACATGGAACGGGTATGGTATGTGTTTCGGGTCCGTAACACAAGATAAAATCTGTGATTCCAATTTTATTAGTTGTCTTGATTATCCAAGCATTAACTTTATGTTTTGATTGCTTGCGAATTGATTGGTACCAAGGTGGAGATTTGTTGGGTTTTGATACCAATGAATCCCCGGGATAATCTAAAAGTTGGATTAAATTGTTACCAACAACCAAGTCTAAAGGCTCAAAACGAAAACAACGTGGGCCGTTGGAAATAACTTAAATAATTAATGTTGCTCATAGTCCATTTATATTACCTCTTACATGGCTTTAAATCTTGGCCCATTTAACCCATTTTATTGATCCAACTATAGTCTAACCTAGCCTAGCCTATATATGTGGTGTTTTTGTCCTAACCGTTCAGTGGGTGATTTGTGTGAAAAGAGAAGAAAGAAACCATGTACAAGAAGAGAGAAAACCGACAGCCTCTTTCAGTGAAAAAAATGTGTGGCTTCCTTTGATTTTTTGGTCTCATTTCTTGCCTTCTTTCATTGTTTTTCTTCTTGTCTTTGTAGCTAAAAATCATCATCATTATATTGTCATTTGTGGGTGAGATTGAGTAGAAACTAAGATGAATATATTGGTTGTGGGTTGGAGCCATTTGGATTAGTTGTTTGGTAGATAAAGGTAACGTGAAAATGAACCCGAAAAATACCGTTCTGACGACCCTTGAAGCAACCTTCCGCGACACTATTCTATTTTGATACATATCATGATGTTTAGTTGCACCAAATTATATGTAATGCAAGCCAAAGATTCTGAAGACAATCTAGAATATGCTATTTCTGTTCAAACCATGCACGGGGATTTGAATATTATATGTCCAATTAAGCTGTTAATCTGTCAGTCCCATCCTTAGAAAAGTTCTAATGTGTTCACTATAAGTTTTGAATTGTTGTTCGTTGCGTTGGAATTTGTGTTAAGGTGGATATTTGTTAAAGTTTAATCCAATTCCAATGGGTATTTTTGGATTAGTTGAATTGGACCTTGAAGATGTCAAAATATGAACCAAGAAATGATTTGGCCACATTCCCGTTAGTTGTGCGCCAAGCTCCCATTCAAGCACACAAAATAGGGAACAGGCTCCCGCAGCGCCAGCCTGCCGCTGGCTTCCCGTCAAGGTGGCACTCGACCTACCGCTGGCATCTGACCCTCGATACTCTTTTTTTATGATATTTCCATCTTTAGGATTATTATTAAGGTTTTGACATATATCCTATATACATTTGGATCTTCTTTACAAAATTTTAAAAAAAAAAAAAAAAGTTAGACAATATTGCTAATATAGTATCATTGTATTCTTTCTTCGTATTATAATGAATTCTAGTTTCCTCTGCCAATTTTTTTTGTTCTTCTTGTGTTATGATCTTTACTTCATATTATGTCATATAATATTGTTCTTAATTCCTAATAGTTTTGAATCATGTATAAAATCATTGCAATTTAAGGTCAGTCATTTTTACATATTGCATGAAAATTCAATATTTTATTGGGCGCTTAACAAATGTCCTCTTTGTTCTCGTTTTTTTTAGAGAAACCCATGTACATTTGTATTGCAGCCCGTGTCCAAACTCATGGCTGGATTCACCACTGCGAAAAATAATATTTAAAGCATCATGATGCTTAGCTACATCTCTATTAAATTGAAATAAATTTCATTAAAAATCGACAGCGCATAATTAATATTAATTTTAAAAGAAGTCGAAGCTTTTCTTCAAAACTCCAATTCTAAGCTTTCAAGCTCCACAATATATAGAAGGAAATATGGCGGGAAGATACCATGTTAATGAGATTGCTTACATATTCTAAATTCGGTTTTTAATACTTTGTTCCAGGTTTTTATGTAAAAGTCAATAACTAAGCTTTTAAAGTATGTGGCTTTTTTATGTAAAGCTGTAACTTCTCTACTGGAAAAGGTATCCAAAAAATTAATATATTAATGACAAAAATATATCTTTGTCCGCTGGTATTACACATATTGATCTTACCAAGTCTTCCGTGCTTTGAAGGAGAATCGTTCTTCAAAGGCTAAATCCCACGTAAAAATAATTTATTTGCATCTTTGAAGTTGTCAATTACTTGTTGTTTTAATCTTTCTATCCTAAACTTCTTGAATTAATGAAATAGTGAGATAACAAGAGCTTAGAAATGATGATGATGATAAACAAACCAACAAACGGGGACGATTATTTTAAAATACTGTTACAATCGTTTTAATTTTTTTTATTGAAGTAATTTTTTTTTCATTCTTTTTTTTTTTTTCCTTTCTTTCGTAAAATTGCATTTAGAAACACACTTTTTTCTTTCCCTTGAACACTTTTGCATAGTCGGCATACTTAAATGAACAATTCACTAATAAACAATGACCAATTGTGTTTTAATTTTGTACAGTTGGCATATTTTTTAATTATTATAGAAGTTTGTGTTAAATTATTCGTTAATCACATAAGATTTTCTCTTAGCAGATTAAACGAAATTTAACAAAGTCATTAGGAAAAAATATTTAACAACTAAGCCATTAATTGATAGTTATAAATTGATTCCATTCAAATTTATATAGAATATGCTTCAAGAGGGCATAGCTTACATTACATGGAAAATACTATATTCTTTGGAAATCTTTATGATCAAGAAACCATACAAGAGAAACATTTCTCAACACTTATTCAGTTATTCATTTTTATTTTTCATAATACACGAGATATCTTTAAGAGGGCAAACAAATCATATTATTTCTTATCTAGTCGATGTTCCACCAGAATTGCCCTTGAAGATATTTAATCACATTTGCATCAACTTGGAAAGCCTTGGTGAGAACATCAATATTAATGGGTGGGTCGGATCCAAACACTGCATTTGCAATTGTGATGACTCCTAGGTTTTGGCTGCTTAGACCAGCAAATACAACTGCATTATTCTTCCCCACATTAAATTGGAAATGAATGANTCCTGGGTTTTGGCTGCTTAGACCAGCAAATACAACTGCATTATTCTTCCCCACATTAAATTGGAAATGAATGAGACCTTCTGGAAACACGAAGACGTCTCCTGGATACAAAGTTTTGGTAAAGAGTTTGTTCTTTACGTTTGGATCTGCAGGGTTCGAAGTAACGAATCCAACATAGAGAGTACCCTCCACAACAACAAGAACCTCAGTAGCCCGAGGGTGCGTGTGGGGTGGGTTGAGGCCATAAGGTGCATAGTCGATACGGACTAAAGAGATACCAAGAGTGTTGAGTCCTGGTAATTGGTTGACATTCACAGGAGTGACCTTTGATCCAAGGGGATTTGATGTATTTCCGGGCATGTTTAGTCCACGAAAGAGGAAATCATCGGCACTAACCATGTTTGGATCCTTGCAAATCTTTCCATTCACAAATACTGCAAAAAATACAGAATTCATTGCTAAGCCAAATATATGTATATGCCAACATAATCTAGTACATAAAATGATAAAATGTAGTGAAAAATTTCATGAAAATTACGAATAAATTGAACGCAATAAAATTATAGTATTCCCTAATGCGAGTTTGGAAGGAGATACGGTATTAAAAGTAAAAAGGAAGCTAAAATTTTGTTGTTTCTAATGTTAAGTAGTACTGAGTAGTGGGCGTATTTCACACAAGATAAGTTTGTTATTCTGGGAGTGTGAAATGCTTTCACCTTTTGCTTCATCATCCTTAACAGCAACACAGAAATCTTGTAGGGGGTCGGGATCAGAAGCAGATGTAAACGAAACCAATGAGATAATAAGAATGGAAATTAGAAAGCGAACAGCCATTTTTAATACAACCAAAATTTTGTTTTTGTTGTGGTTTGTGGATGTTTATTTCGTGAGAGGGGATTGCGTATTTATAGTGTAGCTTTCTATTTGAATTAGTCAAAAACTTATCTTTTCAAGCAAATAATCATTCCAAGTCTTCAAAACATATCATTTAGTAATTAAACGTTGATCAAATTGTGATTAACTAATCACTCTGAAAATTCTTAGACTGCGGTTATAATTAATTTCAAAGTGGTTAATCTGTCATTCTCACTTGCTGCGTACATTAATTTGGCCATATTCATATCTCACTTGCTGTCCTATTTTAATATGTAACATGATCTAAAGTTCCACCAAATTTATATGTCAAGCAAGCCAGCGATCAAAGTTTTCTGTTGGCTGGAAATTAGTGATAATTCATTAGTTAGCTGGCTAATGTAAGTTGTTCACAAATTCATTAGAATTAGTCTGTCAACTTTTCTGTTGCCAGTCAATGAGGATACTTTCCATTTTCCATTTTCTGTTGGTGACAAACGACGTTTTTAGCCATTATCTTTTTAGTTCACCTATTAGTGTCATTTTAAAATAATGTTACAAGCGTTTTAAAATTTCATTTTTTTATTTTTTTTTTTTTCCTTTTCTTTCAAAAAAAATGGATTTAGAAACACCTTTTTCCTTCCGTTGCACTCTTTTGCATATACGGCGAAAATGATCAATTCAGTGGCGAAAATGAGATTTGAGTTTTACTTCCGAGGAGTTGTTAAAAGAAACAGGTTAACTATTGAAGAAGTTCATGTCAAATTTTCCCTTAATCAATAATCACGATATAAGATTTTACATTAGTAGATTGAACAGACTTTCGCAAAGTCATTAGGCAAAATCTTCAACAACAAAACTATTTATTGATTGCATGCTAACTTATTAATAGCATGATTCAAGAATAGGTTACATTAAATGAGAATATTTATATTCTTTCAAAATCTATATCGTCAAGAAACCGAGAGAAATATTTCTCGACGTTTATTCAGCGTTTGTATGGGATAGATTTTTCAAAGTGAAAAATGATTATTTGAATAATGTATAAAAAATGAAGGAAAAATTATGACTTCATAAAAAAATGTGATTCAAAATAATTTTGGGAAAAAATAATTTAAAAAAAAAAATACTCCCAAATAAGCCATCGAATTGTTCTTCTTTATTATTGAGAACTCACAAGATATCCTTTAGAGGTCAAACTCATTATAAAGATTTGTAGGGGGGCGGGATCAGATGCTGAAGCCAATGAGAAAATAAGAGCAGTTGATACGTGTATTGTTTATCTGTGTATATCTTTGTTTCTTGGGTGAAAGAGAACTGCAATTAATGGCTACTTTCTCAATGGAATCAGTCATCAAATTCTAAGGTTAGTTTGCCAAGTCTAATTTTATATTTTTAACCTTACATTAACAAATTAGTTAGTCTTCTTGAAGTGGTAGTCTTTTTTTTAATATTTCTAATCTCCTACTCTCCTTTTCTTTATTTTGGTTCAAACCTTGAATGTGTTTAATAGAATAAACTTGCGTGTAGTGCAAATCGTTTAATTTTTTGCTTGAGAAAGTAGACAAGAAGTATAGAGACGTGTTCAAAACATTAAAAAAATAAAATAAACCACCTCTGACTTTAAGATCTTAAACTTTTAAATGAACTTATTCAATAAATTCTACATTTAAGCATGAGTTTAAATATTCCAATAAAGTGATGTCATATTCGACTGTAAGTTCTAGGTAACGCTTCATTTTTGCTTCTTGGGTCCTTTCGACAAGACTTCTTCATTTGTTTTTTGCAGAATCGCGCTAGAAAAAAATACAAAAAAGTTGTTTGTACAAAAAAAATTTGACAAAAAAGTTGACACACTCTCACATGATGATGGCCCCCACGTGTATAAAAAATTCAAAAAAAATGTGGGGCCCCCCTAATGTGAGGGGCCGATCAGGGTGTTTGTCACCCTGACCCGATACACCAAGCAGGGTTTAAAAAAATACCTTAATTTTAGCACAGCTTCCTCTAAAATTCTTCTAACAAGAAGCACCTTTATAAAATTAACTAAAAGAGCGCAAAAGCAACTTTTAAATCTCAAAAGCTCCTTTTGACTTCTTAAAGGCAATGACAAATGGGCCCTTAATACATAAGCTCATATACTACTAACATGTTTGATAAGGAAGGTTGAATAACTCAAATAGTAAGAGAAATTAATAATAAAATCTTGTTTATTACCACTTGATTTCAAAGGTTTGATCGGTCATTCTCGACCTTGGAAAAACATCTGTGACTCTTGAATATATGTCGATGTAACATGGTAAAAACTATTAATGGGATAGTTGGGTGGTGGTATTAGTGGAAATTACATAAAAACAGGTGTTTAAAGATCCATTTTTATAAATCATGTTTGTAATTTATTTATTCAATTTTCAGGTTTTTTCATTTTAATTAATTAATAAATCATTTAATTAATTGACGTGCGTATCTCTTTAATGGTTGGTTTCAAATTGGTTTATATCCTAACTTCCATTTTTATTTATTAAG